GACCATATAGTGTGTTTGTATTTTCCGTTGAGTTTGTGTGGTGTGTTTTATTTGGCCGGAAAAGCCACTGCCGCCACGAGCCACAGCCGGCCACCACTAGGGTGGCTATGTGTGTGTGTGATTAGTTTAGTGTGTGTGTGGTTAGTTGAGATTTAGCCTTGTAAAATGTAATTTGAATTTGGAATAATGAAAATGAACTAAACCACCACCGTAAGGTGGTGGCCGCCGCCGTGAGACACAATTGACCACCACTACCCGAGGTGGTAGTGGGTGGTGCCCCACAAGCAAACCCTAATGGACCTAGCAAGACCCTAATGGGCTTAAAGATTAATTTTGGGCCTATTGGGCCATGTTTGAGAGGAAAATCCTAATTAGGGTTTAGAAAACCCTAATTGTGAGTAATTGGGCCTTAGACCTATTGGACCTACCTTTAGGCCATGGGGATTGGATGGTGTATCAAGCCCAACTACACCATATCACTTATCTAGTAGAGTAAAGGACTTAATAAATTAAGTCCTTAATGGGTTAAGTAAGAAATACTTAACCCTAGTTATCATTTTATGTGAAACCCTAATTTCAATTGGGCTTTGTGTTGGGCCATCCAAGAACAAGCAAATGGACTAGAATAATTTAATGGGCTTTAGGGTAAGACCCATAGGAGGGTGTGGGCCCAATTTGGAAAATTGGGCCATAGATGGGCCATAGTTGGGCCTAGATGGTTGTATGGTATTGGGCCCTTAGAATGAGACATGTTGGACCAGACTAAACAATTGGGCCTTAAAGGAAGTCCATGTAGAGGTTTGGGCCCAATTTGGAAAATTGGGCCAAAGGTTGGGCTTTGAGCCATAGTTGGACTTTGGGTCTATGGATTGGGCCTTGGGCTTGGGTAAGCCAGCTAGGGGTAATGTAGTAATTACCCAAAGTATGTATTTATAGTTATGTGTAGAACCCAATTATTAATTGGGTGTTATTTTGGTGTTGACAGTTCGGGAATCTGTCATCCAGCAGCTAAGGTTGAGTCTGCGGGACTTCAGCAGTATGAGATTGTGTCTACGGGACTTCAGCAGTGTGAGGTGAGTTTCCTTTCAGTAGGGACGGGTCTACGGCCACAATGCCGGCCCGTTTAAGTTAGCAGTAGTTCCGGACTTCAGTCCGATGCAGTAGTTCAGTATGCTTGGTGTCTTTGTGATACAGGCATGGTATGTGTTATGTGTTCCGGACTATGGTCCGATGCAGTATGTTGTATATGTGTTCATATTATATGTCATGATCATGTTATGCTATGTTCAGTCAGTTCCAGACTTCGGTCTGATGCAGTAGTTCAGTGTGCTTGATGTCTTTGTGATTCAAGTATGACTTTGTGATATGTGTTCTGGACTTCGGTCCGATGCAGTATGCAGTATCTGTGTTTATGCTAGTAGTTATGATTATGCTATGCTATGTTCAGTCAGTTCCGGACTTCGGTCCGATGCAGAGGGCAAGGCCCTGGTTAGTTCCGGACTTCGGTCCGATGTAGTTTCCGGACTTCGGTCCGATGCAGAGGACAAGGCCCTGGTTAGTTCCGGACTTCGGTCTGATGCAGAGGGCAAGGCCCTGGTTACTTCAGAAAATTGATTTTGTTGCTTTGATTCTATTATGATTGAATGGTTGTTACTGTGATTCCTATTGATTCCTACTGTAAGCATGTGTACAAATGATTTTGTTGTGAATTATTTCACACTTCCGATTAGAAAACATGAATACACTCTTTCCAATTACATGGAGTTCCTCATAAACAAACACTTGGAATTCTTGTAGGTTTGGTATATTATTATTCTTACTGTGTGATTGAATTTCAAAATTATTTGCTTCAACATTTATTTGATTCAATATTATTGGATTTATGTTTTGTTCATTTTTCTAAATGGATGTTGTTATAATGCTTTGTTGGGTTTTATTCAAAAATTAGTTTCAAAAACAAGATTTTAGCAACAGAAGACTTGGGTATATTTTTTGAACAATTATAAACTAGTTATAACTAACCATGAATCTTCTAGTAAAGTGTGGAAAGAAAACAAACACCAAAGAAGGAGAAGAATTTAACAACCTTTGTAGACTTTGAATCCTCTAAGGGAGGTTTGGAAGTTAATGAAGAATATGGAACCTTTGAGACACCTACATGAAACCAACTTGATGTAAGATGCTAGTCTTGTAAAGCTCTTAAATAATATTTAGTTCATATCAAAATATGAACCAAAGAGAGCAAAAGAAATGCAAGTAATCTTCAAAGCATAAACCAAAGTACGAGAGTCTCCAACTCCTCTCTATGTTACGTTTTTTGCATGTAAGAAGTAACAAGAATGAAAGCCTTTCCCGCATCCTATAAAGCAAAAACAATACTTATGGGTCTTTAACCATTAAGCACCCATGCATCTACTAGCTAGATTGTTCCCCATTAGACCTGACAATGGAACGGGTTTTGACCGTGATCAGCTCCAAACCCATGTAAATTTAATGAGTTTGGATCATATTTTATGATTCGTTTACCCGTTAAAGACTCATACCCGTTAACCTTTTTATTAAAAGAGTCGGGTATGGATCACTATCGATCCGATTTGTTTATGACCTGTTCCGTCTAAAATTTTAAAATATAAATTTATTATTTATAAGTTATACATTGATAAGGACTCGTGGAGTTCGATCATTCCAATTCCACTTAACAGTTCCTAATGGCTGAATTCTAGTCGACTCCCACTACAGATAACTATATAAAATCATACAAGTTTGCAATAGTAGACATTTGTTTTGTTTAGGAAATGTTATTTATTAAACTATAATTGTAGTTTATTTTGGAATGGATGTTGTTTGGTTTTACTTTTTAGTGATTTATGTTATATGTGTTGTAATGGATAATTATTGCTAAATCTTAATATTGTAAATGAGTTGGGTAAAAGGGTTGGAAATTTGTTGATCCGGTGGATAAAGGTATGAGTTTAATTATTCAAAACTCTACGGGTTACAGTTCAGATTTGGATCAACATTTGAAAATTACTTGATAGGTTTGGATTAAGGCCGATCCGCTCCATTGCCAGGTCTATTCCCCATGCTTCTTATTACTTTTGATTAAATAAGTCAAATGACCATACTTTTTGTCTCCTTGAGAATTTTTGGCCATGCCTAATAAAAAGAAGACATAAGCTTTATATTTTATAAAACAAATTTATAAAATATAAATTTTAACTTTTGGGTAAAAGACAAGAGAATTTATCTAGTCCAAAATGTTATACATGACTTATAAATCATACCATATGATATATATTATATTACTTGCTAATGAAAATTAATATTTCCATGAAATAATTAATTTCCAATTAATTATAAGAGTTTATTAAATATTTATTAAAATCAATTTCTAATAAATAATTAATTGTATCAAGTTGTTGTTAGGGTGATCCATTAGTATCATATGTTAATTAGTAATATCACTTTAATATGACTCTTGAGCATACTAAATATTTCACAACTTGTAATGGTCCATATAATATAAATTATTAAAAAGCTCCAAAAAGCCATCAATGTTAACTGTAAAATACAATTTCATGAGTTGGATGTGATAACTTAGTTTTAATTTTTGTAACAGAAATCACGAATCTGTTATGCTAGAAGAAGAAAGGAGCAATGAGTTAATATTACCTAATACGAGACATGCTAATGCCATAACAAACGTGATTCAGAATGAAAATTTCTATAGAATTTCTCAAGTTGCTGTTGTGAGCAATGAAATAATTAGTGACAATGAAATTGATTAAGAATATGGGATTGGAGTGTATATGCCAAAACTTCCCTTGAATAGTTGGCAATACTCATAAATGTTACTCAATTGTAGAGTATTGGCATCCGAGTTTTCCCCACTTCCTCATGAAGTGTATTGGCCACAATCGTCATCTAGAGAATTGCTTCCAAATTTAGAGCTTTTACGGAATAAAAAAGGTCGTCATCGCTCAACGAGACTATGAAATGAAATGGACATCAAAAAAGGGAAAAATAGATACCTTTGTGGAATTTGTAGACAAAGTGACCATAATCGGAAAAAAATGACCATCTGAGCCAAGGTAAATGAAGAGACGTTAAAGCTAATCGGCTCAAGCAATAGAAATGTTTCCTTTTTTATTTCCATTTTGTAAAAAGTCATTGTTGGATTTGTACCAAAAACAATTGTACATTTGATGTTGGTTTTAATTTAAGATGTCTAGCATTATTGTTTAATCAATTTCTTATGATAATGAAATGAGATATAATATGTTTATAATTTTTTTTACAAAAGTTAATAGCAAAGAGTTAAGAAAAGGTAAAAAGTAATATTTTAAATATCAATAAAATTTAAAGAAATGCTGAAAATATAAAAAAAAAGTTTAAAAAAACATTGTTTTGGACTTTTGGTAAATATTAGAACAATAGTTGAAATTTTTTCAGAAAAAATTAAAAAAAAAATACTATTCCCTCATTTCCAAATTAATTGTCCACTTTTGACTTTTGAAGTTTTTTTTCTTCAAATTAGACATTAAATATTTTTATTTGTGTTATATATTACATGATTAAACTTATAATAATGAAAATACATTTAAAATACAATTCATTCATATATTTTGCATCAAGTATTATCTATAAAAAAGAAAAATATTTAAAGTCAAATTTGAAGAATAAGGACTTCAAAAGTCAAATGTGGACAATCAATTTGGGACGGAGGTAGTATTTTGATAAATATTTTAACTATTATACTCTTTTGATAAATATATTTGAAAGCTTTGATAAATATTTTTTTCAAACACATCTCTTTGGTTAAAAAAAATAATAAAAAATAAATAAATAAAAATAAAAGTCACGTTTAAATAGTAAAAATAAAAAGTGATTAGAACCATATGTAATAAAACGTGATGATAATTAATTAAGTTGAAAAACCCAAGATCCATGATTCTTTATTATTTACATTGACCACTGATTTAAAGGTATTTAAAGAAACTTGATTGGATGTCGAAGAACGCAAGAATATTTGACCCTTCTGCCTTTTGCGTTAATGGGATTCTAGAGAGAATTGAACTTTGCAGTCCAATTTCACGGCGGTATCACCCCCAAATCCGCAGCCGGTAAATTGGGTTTGGTGCATACGCCTTTCAACTGTTCCCGGAAACCAAAGGCCAACATCTGTCCACATCATCCATACAAATACGCAGCCTTGCTCCTCTTACTCCTCCCACCGGGAAACAACAAATTCATCCAAAAAATTCATCATCGTCTCTTTCTAACATCAAATCCTTTCATGGATCCATCGTCTTTCGCTTTATCATCAACAATTCGGTTTATTCTTGATTCTCAGTTGCCTTTTTTTGTACGCTTTCTTATTCATCGTCGACCTTGTACGTCCTTCTGACGACTTAAATTAGCTGTTTCCAATGGGTAAACAACGTAAGTAACAATCTTTAATCATTACTCATTCATTTTATAACATTTTGATATAATTCTGTCTGTTTAGGTGATTTACCAGGCTCAATTGAATTAGGGTTCTGTTCAATACTATATCTTTTCTGATGTTGTTCATCATAATCTTGGTTCCTTGGTATGAATAATCGGTTTCCAAATAATTAGGGGTATAAACCCAGTTGCGAATTTGTGATTTGTCATCGTTCTCGATCATACAAATTTCTATTTGCCCTAATCGGCTTGAAATAAACTACAACATACTGTATTTTGTTCATCGGGCTTTAAAATTGATTAAAATTCAATCGATTTTTACAGGTCGTAATCAGCGTAAGAATGCTGCAATGCTTGATAGTGATGATACGGATAGTGTAAGTTCTTCATCAACTATCCGTTCGGATCAAATGCTGGGAAATGGTGGGGAGGAAGTGCAAATTGATAAAGAAAGTGTGTTAGATCAAAGTTTGGATGCTTTATACGAAAAAAGGTAGTATTTTTTTCCCTAAAATTTCATTGACTTTATCTATTAAGTCATTTTTTCTTTATCAAGTAAGAAACACCCATATATCTAGCTTACCAGATTAAGTCATTGTTTTAAAGGGGATCAACAAGGGAGAATGCTTTGGTGACAATCATAGAGGCTTTCAACAGCAGCTTGCCTCATGAATTTGTTGAAAAGAAGTAAAGAACATTTTTTTTACATTTATGGTTTCTTTTCATGGTTATTTATGACATCATCAACATATTTATTTTTGCCTTTCTTTTAGATTTGCAACAATGCTTCATCAATGTCTGAATTCTGTTAAAAAGGGTTCAGCAAAAGAGGTAGCTTTAGCATCTCATGCCATAGGTATGCTATACACATTTATACTTTTTTTTTTTTTTTTTTTTTTTTTTTTTTTTTTTTTTTTTATAACATATTGACTTCACCAGTTTTATAGAAATCTCTAAATATTATAGTTTATTTTAATAACAGGATTACTAGCTCTAACTGTTGGCTCTGGTAAAAAAGCACAAGAAATATTAGAAGAATCAGTTTCTCCAATTTCAGAGGCTCTTAAATCTCGTTCAGAATCATCAAAAATAGCATCGGTAAACATTCATATAATCCCCTATCTTTTTATAGCTTTTTTTTCTTCTTAATTTACAAAATTTGATGCTTTCTTTATTTTTATATTTTTCAAAAAACAATTCTAGTTGCTAGATTGCTTGGCTGTGATAACTTTTGTTGGAGGAAATGAACCTGAAGAAACCGATAAATGCATGCAAATAATGTGGCAAGTCGTTCATCCCAAACTTGGTCCCAATGTATGCATCTCTTTTTTTTTTTTTTTTTTTAAACTTTTTTATATTTTTTGTTTGGTATAAATTATTTTATGTTGATATAAATTATTCTATAAGGTTGTTGCCACTAAACCATCACCACCAGTGATTACAGCTATGGTATCCGCCTGGTCATTTCTTCTTACAACAATGGATGGTTGGACACTCGATCCCAAAACCTGGCAAGGGTAAAACCTCATCTGTCTTGTCAAACACAGTACAACCTGTTATGTCATGTCACACAAAGCACAACCTTTTATGTTATGTTATGTTATGTCATGTCACACACAGTACCACTTGTTATGTCATGTACTCATTTCAAACTCAGTGCAAGTTGTTCTGTCTGTTTTGTCATGTTATGTCGGAGAGAATTGTGAACTAACTTTTTATAAAAGTTATGCAGGTCAATTTCTTATTTTTCTACACTTCTAGAAAAGGACGACAGATCTATACGAATAGCTGCTGGTGAAGCGCTGGCGTTAATTTTTGAAATTGGAAATTTGGAGAAATTTTCAATTCAAGAGGGGAATAATAAAGATGTTACATATATTCAAGGTTTAAGAGCAAAAGTCTTGAATCAAGTTAAGAATCTTTCTGTTGAAGCAGGTGGAAAGGGGTTGACCAAGAAAGATCTTAACAACCAACGCAACACCTTCCGGGACATTCTAGAATTTCTCGAGGTACTTCTATTTCTATACCACCTTCTAGAAGAATTTAGTCTCGTTAAATGATTTTATTAATGATTTTTTGTAAAATAAAAATAGGATGGTTATAGTCCCGAAACATCTTTGAAGATTGGTGGAGACTCACTTACCACCACAACATGGTGCCAATTAATACAGGTATGTATTAATCACATTGTGCGTGATACATATCACGCACAATGTATGCATCAGGCACATCACACACCCGGTGTGCCTGATGCATACGCTTGTGTTTGGTACGTACAATATTAAGCGCTAAAAGTTTTTTTTTTTTTTTTTGACAGCTGAACTTTTTAAAGCGTTTTCTTCGGGGAGGATTTATTAAACACATGCAGGTTTGATTTGCCTCCTTTAAAACTGATAAGTGTATATTATATTATTATGTATATGGGTTTTTTTTTTCATTTTGATATCTTGTTATTGATATTAATGAAGGATTATTTTGTAACCTAAACAGGAAAATGAATTTCTTCATGATGTGTTTGATTTCACACCGAAGAAAAAGCTTATCTCAGGTGTATCTGGAACTGAGAAGGTTCGTTCCTACTATAAATATACTTTTTTTTATTGATTTTAAGTTCTTTTTTTTTAATGAACTTGGTTTTTGCTTATTTAATTTGTTATAAAAGGCTTTATTTATTTATATTGTTCTTGGAACAGAGGATGTACAAGTCTCCAAATTCAGCCCTCAACAAGGCAAGGACACAGTACCTCAATAAGCAAAGAATGTTATCACAGGTAAGCTTTTTGTTTCTTTTTAAAGGTGAAATGTTTATTTATGCAATAAAGCTTTTAATTTTTTTTTTTTTTCATAATTTGAGCAGGATAAGAATGCGGGTCATTATGCTTCGGGGTTTGATGAAGAGTGAAAAACCACAGCATCATTCTGTTACAGATCTGGAACCTTATTATATATTTAAATTTTTTTTTTTTGTGTATTGCTTAAAAAAAGTTGATGTCGAGTCACTTTTGCTAAAAAAAGATGAGGGAAACTAGTTGTGTTTATGACACCAATAAGGCATATTATTTATTAATAATAAGCTGGATGCCTGAATTCATTTGTATCCTTTTCTTGTAATGAATATTCAAATGGTGATACATCATGTATATGGATTTGACATTTGTTGTATTTGTGTTATGTGTATTCAACTATATCTAGGGCTGTTCATTATTCAAATAAAACCGAATTGTCCAATTGGACAATTTGGATTGGACTAGTTGGTTCGGATATTCGGATTTTTTGATTGGTTTTCAACAAAACCGAATTATTATTTTGGATTTCGGATTGGTTTTGGTTTATAAAATAAGAACCGAATAGTCCAAAAAAACCGAATAACAATTTATTATTTATTTACTTTTAATTTATCTTTAATTATTTATTTATTTTGTAATTTATTTTTCAAATAGGTTCAAAAAGTTCCACCTAATATCAAACATTAATATTCATTTTCTCTTAAAAAAAATTATTTATAAAATATTAAACTGTAATATATATTCTTAGTAGTTGTTTACAAATTTTAAATCACAACCAAATAATTTGGTTTTGCTTCTTGTGTAAAATTGGATAAAATTATAATTATATGTCGTTTTAAATTGTTTCGGTTATTGAAAACCGAATTATTAAAACCGATCCAACCGAATTATAATTGGATTGGATCGGATCGGATTTGAATTTTATTTGGACTGTTCGGATTCATGTTTTGAAAACCGAAATCACTTTGGATTCACTTGATTGGATCGGATCAAACCGATCCATCCAAACGAACACCCCTAACTATATCCAATGTTTATAATGTATTGGAATACAATACTTGTATTCTTTTGTGTGAAAGATAATAGCAAATACTTATAGGGTAAAGATTAGCATATCCATATGATGCATACAATGGGTAACCAACTTATGCCAGGTAGATTGACACATATACAACCCAGGTGGACAGTAAAATGCCAAATCAGCAAGAATTGGCTAAACATATATTGTCTTCCATTTAAAGACTTGATCACTTTTTCTTTACCTTTTTTTTGCCCTTTTGATCTTCAATTAAAAACTTAATAAGCTTTTCTTACTTTTATATGTATATACTAACACATGTGCATTTTTATTTTTTCTTTTATGCCTTTTAGTTATGGACTTAATATGAAATGATGTTCAGTTAAAGAGTTGATCTGTTTTTCTTTAACTTTATATGTATATACATTAGAATATGCTACTTGTGCACATGAAACACTTTCAAGTTCCCAAAGCAGTGGACTTTTATATGTATATACAAAATAAGATTAATGGTACATTTTGTACGTGCATATAAAATCATTACTGGTATATCAGTGACGTTTGTAGAAGATTATATTATATTTGGGAGTGAGACTTGAAATATAGTAAGAAAATAAAATAAACATAAACATGGATTAATCCCGTATTCTATTTATAATATATATGGGTTAACCATTAACAACCCCATTCCACTAATCAAGAAACCACATGTGCAACCATAAAACATCTTTTCAACCAACAAACTCAAAACCCACCAAGCCCAGAAAAATGTTTCTTCATAGCTTGATCTTTCCTGTAATGATTACTCCTCCCCCACCACCACCACCACCACCACCCCTCCTCCCTCTCCCCCTCCCTCCTCTTCCACGTTCACCACCACCCCCACTCTCATTCCCATCCTCCCCGTCATTCCCTTCCACCACATTTTGCTCCTTTCCAACATTACCCCTACCCCATCCCCTCCCTCGATTCACCCCATCACTCGTTCTCACAGGGGCATTATTGTCTTTTCCCTTGTTACCCCTCCTCACCGAATCCCCATTCCCCCGTCCTCCTACCACATCATTCATTTCCACCACCTTTTGTACAGCACCCAATGGTAAATTACCACCACGCCCAAGCCCATGAATCGTTTCTTTCTGCGCTTGATTTACGATATTAGCCTCGTTATAATTCGCAGCTGCAACAGAACCCGAAACTTTATAACTATAATTCTTCCCATCCTTAACAAAAAACTGAGGTTTTTGTCTCGACCCCCATCTAGAAGCTTCCGAAGCCGAAGTATCATTGGGAATTCACTTTTTCACTGTAATCATCAAGTCCGGAATCCACAACACTTAATCCAAGATCATCAAAAGAATCATCATACTCATCTTCATACTCAGCAACAGATTGAAGTGCAAAAGTCTTGGAAGCTTCATCTTTTGTGTTAAGAATTTCAGAATCCGGTTTGTTTGTATTTGACTTTCTAATGAATCTCCCAATTGAAGAAGATGATGTTGAAGATGGGCCTGGGCCTGGGCTCGGGCCCATTAATTTTGTGGGTGTTGGTGGTGTAAGTTCGATTAGTTTTCCTTTTCCTTTATCGTTTTGGGGGAGGGGAGGTGGGGTGGGGTGGGGTGGGGGTATGGGTAGGGTGGGGTCCAGTGAAAGTAGGTCACTATGAAGTGTTCCTTCTAGAATTCTTTGAATGACTTCTTCAGGGTTTTGGTTGTATACTTCGAGACATGCTGAAATGAAGCCTTGACTATAATCGGGAAAAAGGTCTTTTATTTGACTGATTTTGGATTCGATTATCGCGTTGTCTTCGTCCATTTCTATCTTTGTGTTTGTTGCGGAGGGTAATTTTGGTATTTTGTATGGTTGTGGGGACCAGTATGATTCCGGAAAGAAACTGGAATTGTTCCTTGTCTAGTGAGATCCAACCTATAAAGAAGAAAGAAATTGTGTTACTGTTTGGTATGATGGAATCAGCACAGGAATGGAATGGTCTATTCCATGGAATGAAACATTCCATTCCCTCTGATCGAAAAGTAACCAAAATGATTATGGTCAAGTATAAAAGATTCAACCTTCATTCACTAGGAGCTGAAGTCTATCCATCAATTGGTATTTCTTTTCAACACTTTGAAGCAAAGAATTTACACTCCTTTCTTCTTGAACAATTGAACATTCTTCACTAATTTCACGAAATGTCTGAACCAAAATATCTGCCCTGATGACTGGATCTTCCACTTGGGCAGGAAAAATCTTTGAGGCAAATGGAAGACGTGCACTTTCTACAAACAATTCTTCATTTAAGTAACACAAATTCACTAACTTCAAACAAAAATCAACAATTCGAGATGATAACATCTTCAAACTAATCACAACTTTCGGTAACATCTCTGAAGAGATGCTTTCATTTCCATTTTTCTTTGATGAAAATAGTATTTTAAACCCCCGCTGCAGATTTGGCAACAATGAATCATGCAATCTTGCAAGAATTTTAACCAATTCATCGCTTCCGAAACTACAACAAGAAAACCAAATCAACATTTGGTGTCATGAAAAGTCAACAATCAAGATTTAGTGTTATAAAATTGGAAGTGAAACTGTACCTTGTTTCAACAGGGCAGGAGAAAAAGACAGCAGCATGGTTGTAAGCAGCAACCAAAGCATCCATTGATACAATAGCATCATTTATAAAATCCATTACCTAAAAAGGAAAGGAAAGTATACAGATAAGCATAAAAAGAAGCAATCACTACTTGTTTCAATTAAAGAAAAGCTTCAAGAACCTCAAGATAGTCAGAGTGAAGTTGTGTTAGACCATCATCTTGGGCGTTATGAGATGACAATAAAACCTACACTTCAACCCAACAGACAAAAATATTCAATATGCAAACATGAAAAATAGTATAAAAAAAAGCTCAAGGGAAACCACCTCTAAGGATGTGCTACATCGCTCATACATGGTATGAACTATGTTAAGAAAATGAGAAACAACAGCATTGAAGCTATCATGGATCGAAGGTTGGGCCTTTATTGCATTTGTAACCTGAAAAAATGGTGACTGTGTTGAATGAAGGGTAGTTTTGGTATTTTCACTACTTATTTCGTTGTTTTGTAAGCACTTACAATTAACTTTGTCAAGTCTTCATTCTCATGACCGTAAATTGCACAAATATCTAGCAGCTTAGGCAAGTCAAGCAACTTCTTTTCCTGCAAAATGACTACATGTATAACTAGTAAACAAGGATTCCATAAAATGTTAAATGTCAGAGTAAATTTATAGCTTATATACTAAAATGGGACACACCTGCATGATCTTTTGAACTAAGACTATCAGAAGCCTTGGCACCAGGGTCCCGATTTGAAGATCTTCACAAGGAAAGTTATGCAATCTTGAAGTAAATGATGTGGTCAAAATTGTGGTGAAAATTCAGAAAGGAGTCTAGACATACATGCGATAGAGAATCATGAATACGCGCCTGCTTAGCTCATGCTCGCCAACAATCATCCCTGCAACTATTCCCTTGGCGCCACGATAAGGAAAGTCATACCATCTACTTCTGTACTTCAAGAAACTTTCCAGAAAAGCATGAAGAGAAGTATCACTAGCCACTGAGATCAAATGGAAAGAGAAACACCAACAAACGTGAGGAATTTAACATGATAGACTACACCAATCTGTAAGAACACAAGTAGTACACGAGTAACGAATGATTGATTCACGAAATTTTGTAAGTTTTTTGTGCATCAAAGCAAGGGTAAGTAACTTGCGATTGGTTTCCGTTGCAAAAGTTTACAGTTACGTCTTGACGCAATTTCTTGCTTGTTGATTGACGGACGCCAATATGCAAGCAACTTAACACTACATCGAAGTGAAATTAAGTGCACGAGTAATCAACGATTGACGTGATTTAAGCAATCTAACGAAATTAAGATTGTGGAAAAACCTTCTCTCCAAAAATCTTTGGGGTTTAACTTGAGCAAGATAGAGCACTCTCTATTCAACAAATCAACAACTCCCTGAGATTCCACAGGATCCAGACCCCCTTCCGCAACCCCTAGACCCGCCGCAACCGCCTCGTCCTGCGGCAAGTAACTTATAAAATTGCCAGCTTGAATCCCACGCTGCCCACTGGAACTTTTACTGGTACCGGATGAAGATGATTGCTGCTGCTGTTGCCGAAGAGAATCGGAGAGCGTCGGCTTCGAATTGTGAGTTTGGGACGCTGCCGCTTTAGGTACGAATCTCTGTTGCTGGGTTTTGTTGGGCAAACTCCTGTTATTGAATCGTTGATTGTTCGACATTACAAAAAAAAAAGTATGTGTTTGTGTGTGTAATAATGTGTGCTTTGTTAGGGTTTTAGGTGATGGCGATGAGTCTGTGAGAATCGTCGATGTATAAATTTGGCTATTTGGGTTGCAAATCTCGATTTGGAAGGTGTATCGATGAGGAAGCGATGTATATGGAGAGCACGAAACGCCGTCGTGTCGATGCGTGGAAAGCAAACAAGAAACAGCGCCTTGGAGGCTGCTACTTTGGCCCGCGGAACTCCAAACGAAGTCAACTAACTCAACCTGTGCTGTTATTCTTTTCCAATAAGCCCAAAATAGTTTTACTATAATTTCTTGGGTTAATTTCATAAGTTTACTCCATAGCTTAAATGACACTTCAACTTTGAGATTTTGTTCTGGATCTATCGTTAAATGACACTTCAACTTTCGATTCTCCATGCATACCTTTAACATGAAATGATAGTGAGTCTCGAGGTGACTAGAGACAATGAACAAATCTAATGTTGTCATCTTCGATGAACACATTAAAAAGTTCCCACAATGAAAAATTTGTTGTTCCAAAGGTCTTCCTCCAACCATAATGAAGTATATCATTTTTTATGACTCGTTACCATTTAGAGGGCCCAAAAGTATGACATTGTGGGTTGTTGTTTGTTGGTCATGTGTGTTATATAAATAACACAATATAACATAATGATCATCTTTAATTGAAAGAGGAGGGGGTTAGTACAATCATATCAAGTTTAAGAAGAGTTTCTTATAAATAAACTTAATATACAAAACAACCTTTATTTGTCTGGAAATAGATAAATACAATGTATATTTCGGATCATGAATTACAAAGCAAAAATTTACGAGTCAATGTTCATAATTTCAACAATAGCTTCAAACAAACACCGACAAAAGTATTGGAAGCCATTGCTTACTTCTCAATGATAAAATAAAAGGGAGACATATCCTTATACTACTACATGCTTCTAAGAGTAAAAAAAAACTTCTTCTCTCTGCTTCTTTACCTTTATACTAATTCCATATGAAAACAAAATTGAATGTACATATAAAGACAACATGTTTCATCATTCAAAATTTAAAAAGTAAATAAACAACATATAAAACATGTTTGACTACTAACACAAATTATAGCAACCGTTAGTAAAATGCCTTGATTAAGTTATATGCATTCTTCATACAAATTTGAAGTTATATGCATACGATGAATGTTCAACAATAATAGCTATCAGTTGATGGATCATGAATCAAAAACAAAATCATGTGTTATGTTATAAACAAGAATATCCATTAAGAGGCTTAACAATCAAACCTTAATGTTTTTCTACATAAGTATCCATATATCTTGAAACTGAGAAGAGAGGAGTTACTAACTCCTTATCATTGACACTTACTAGTAGTTGTAATCGCGCGTGCACATGCACACACATTGAATTGACGCAAATTTATATCATCTAATTAATTAGAGAATAATCAGAGTTTCCTAACAAGTGAAGAATTCTATCAAAATTTAAACACTTTAGCATGGTTTATCACAAAACTAGCTCATACCCTCTGCTTGATATTTATCTTTCACAATTTAAGACTAGGAATAGATACACCAAACCTAATTCACTTAACTATAGCTTTGATACCAATGATAACAATCCGAACATCATCTAATAACGAAGGAATAATCAGAGTTTTCTAACAAGTGAGATTTTATAAAAGATGTTTTAGGTACTTTAATAGAATTATACTTATTAATGAGGTTATGTCTTATCAAATCCGTTCGACTAACGACCCTCCACCATATAAGAGAACGGTGGGTAAGAATGGATACCCAATGACGGTCATTTTATAGGCCGCTTCCTTAAACTCTCCTTATAGTATGACTTCGTGAATGAGGCGTACTAACGATTTGACTGACTTAGTCTTATACATATAGTAATTTATTAAACTTTTAATTTTACATATAGTATAAGGTGTATTTTAAAAACATTTTCAAAATGCTAGGTTTAAATTCAATTTTCAAAATTAAGAAATTAATTTAATAAATCAATTATGTTTTTAATCTTTATCTTTTAATTAATCAAAATAATTAAATATAATAAAAACATAAGGATAATTCACAAATTCAAGATAAGGATATCTGATTACTAAGATAATTACTCTAATCAATTTATGAATTAAACTTTTAATTTTACATAGTACCCAACCCTGCAATTGATGCATCACAACAGACCACGAAATCCTCAACTCCCTCAGAGAAGGCAAGTACCAGTGCCTCACACAGTTTCTGGTGAAGAGTATCGAATGATGGCTGCTGCTCAGGCCCCCAACTAAACACAACCTCCTTCCTCGTCAACTTAGTGAGATGAACAATAATCTTGGAGAAGTCTCGAATGAATTTGCGGTAATATCCCGCCAAACCGAAGAAGCTCCGAATCTTAGATGGAGATCTCGGTACTTCCCACCGCATCACCGCCTCTCTCTTGGCTGGATCGACCAAGATAACGTTCTGGTTGACGAGGTGTCCTAGAAACTGAACCTCGCGCAACCAGAAGTCACACTTGGAGAACTTGACATAGAGCCTCTCCATCCTCAAAACTCCAAGAATCTCGCGCAAATGCTCCTCGTGCTGCTCTATGGTCTTCGAATAGACCAGAATGTCATTGATGAAGAGGATCACCGATAGATCCAACATGGGCCTGCACACCCGGTTCATGAGATCCATGGACGCCGCTGGTGCTTTGGTGAGCCGAAAAGGCATCACCACAAACTCGTAATGCCCATAGCGAGTTCAGAAGGCCGTCTTCTGAATATCCTCCTCTCACACCCTCATCTGATGGTAGTCGGACCTCAAATCAATCTTGGAAAACCAAGATTCCCCCTGCAACTGATTGAAGTGATCATCAATCCTCGACAATGGATAATGATTGTTTATCGTTAGCTTGTTCAACTCCTGGTAATCAATACACATCCGGTGTGAACCATCCTTCTTTCTGATAAAAAGGATCAGTGCTCCCCAAAGAGAATTGCTCGGTTAAATAAACCCTTTTCCTAACAACTCCCGAAGTTGAGAGGATAACTCCTGCATATCAGGAGGTGCGAGACAGTATGATGCCTTGGCAATCGGCGCCACACCCAAGATCAGATCGATCCGAAACTCCACTTGCCTCGTAGGAGGCACACCTGATAACTCCTCAGGAAAAACATTTGGAAAATCGCATACAACAGGAATATCAGAAATGTAAATGAATCCCTTCTCCTCAACCCGAGTATCCACCACACATGCCAGATAACCCATACACCCATGCTGCAAACTTTGTCTTGCCCTGGCGGCAGAATAGAAGGTTGATCCCGACCTAGTACCCTCATCGTAGATGGTCAGTATTCCCCTACTAGGGTCTCGAACCGTTACCATCTGACGCTCACAGTTAATTAGAGCCCTAAACCAGCTCAACCAATCCATACACACGATCACACGGACATCTCCCATCGCAATAGGGATAAGATCTATCGGATAACCAAAACCAAAAATCTCTAACACACAACCCCAATATACATCAGTAGCGGAGACCGGACACTCATCGGGTATAAATACTCTCAAGGGCCTGCTCAAGGCCTCCCGCGCAATACTAAATTCGTGATAAAAAGATGATGACACAAAAGACCGACTCGTACCCAAGTGAAAAGCACAAGCACAGTACATAATTCACAAGAAAAGTACCTACACGATCAATAACATAAGCAACATAAATAAATCAGCAGAATAATAAAGAACACATACCAACCACGACGTCTGGAGCTGCTCGGGCCTCCTCTGCCATACATCAGTAATACGCAGGGTCGCGGGGGCCGGAGTCTGGACCGCCCTAGATGCAAGCTGAGGACACTCGTCCCTCATATGTCCTGTCTGGTTGTAATTGAAGTAGACCTGAAATCACTTGGGGCAATCCCTGGCCAAATTCCCCTCCTTGCCACACAGGTAGCAAGTCGTCCCTAACCGACATGGTCTCTTATGCCCCTTACCGCACTTACCGTAAGTGCGACACTTTTGGCCTCCAGCTCTCGAGTCAGCGGGCTTGAACCGCTTAATCGCCGACTACGACTATACTGACTTCCTATCTCTCACCTGGGTCTCCTTCTCCTCTCTAGCATAGTTCTCCAGCTCAATAGCTCTCCTCCTGGAATTGGTCTGCAGCTCAGCCAATGTCCGATATGAAGTGTTTGCCATGAACTCACGGATATCCCTCCTCATAATACTCAGATACCGACTCACACATGCCTGCTCAGTAGACATGAACTCAGGACAAAACAAAGCCCTCTCATGAAACATCCTGGTGATCTTAATCACCATCTCTGTGTTCTGCTTAAGAAACAGGAACTCCTGGGCCAACCTCCCCCTCTCTCTATCCTCTCTCTCTCTCTCTCTCTCTCTCTCTCTCTCTCTCTCTCTCTTTCTCTCAACCACTGGAAAAAACTCATCTCTGAACATCTCAGTAAATCTCTCCCAGGTCACCATAAAACGCTCTGTAAGGGTATAATCAACTGTCATAATCTTCCACCAATCTTTCGTTCCCAAGCAAAGCAGGTTCAACGCGAAACGAACCCTCAGATTCTCTGGACAGGAGCAAGTGTAAAAACAACCCTCAACATCATAAATACATCTCATCGCAACAATCAGATCCTGGGTCCCATCAAACTCGGGTGGCTTCGTGTTGTTGAACTCCCAGTACCACAACGAATCACCCCCCGTGGTCTCACAGCAACAACAGCTGCAGTGGTTGCGGCAGCAACAACCTCAGTGACGGCGACATAACGCTCGTCAAAAGTCTTAATCAGCACGGTCTTGATAAACCCAGACATCTCTAGGATAGACCCTCTGATTTTTGCGGCCACCTCGACAGCAACAATCCTGCGAATCTCATCATCACTGGCACTCGGTCTCTCGGGGTCGTTGGAGCCTGAATCTCGAGTAACCACCATACTGATACACATAAGAAAACCATCAGAATCAAGCTAAAGCACATACACAAACACCCATACACTCCTACAAGTTCCTTAGTTCCTTAAGATTCCTTCTTGATCTGCGTACGAATCCGGTGCTTTCAGTAGTACGGTCCCAATACTACCTTCCACACCAACCCGTATTTGTCTCAAGTCATCCTCTCAAGACCCTAAGTTACAAGGACTCTGTTTCCACATATCA